AATTGCACAAAGACCCACAGAGTGGAAAACAAAGTTCCACAGTTGAATTTTAAAGCAGAGGGCTCTTTATTTCTCATGTTACGTACAGCAAGTGCTTTATGCCTCCAGGAACTCTCCCTTGCCAGGAACCTGAGTCTTCTGATCCCAAACTCAGCTGACCTCAGAGCCCCCTCCCAGGCACACTCCACTTCAAAGCCTTCAAGTGCACCTGCTTTCTCCTCCTCACTCTACTCTAGTGCCAGTTTTATCTCTCTTTGGAAATTATTTTATGCACTATGTACCTAACTAACAAAACCATTACTCTAGGGTTCATGCATAAAACATTCCAGCAACACACCTTCCACCAGTGTCCCTCTCCCTCAGTGTCAAGCTTCCTGCTGAATCCAATTCTCAGTTTCTGTTGCTTTGGGGCATTTAATATTTCCTCACTATGTTTCTGTATGTCCTCAATATGATTGAGATCATTCTGTTTCTGTCTCTCTCTCTCTCTCTCTCCTTCAGATTAACTTTACTCAGCATGATACTTTCAGATCCATCCACATAGCAGTAAATTGCATGTTTTGTTTTTTCTTATGGCTGAGTAGTATTCCATTTTGTCTATATATACCATAGTTTCATCCAGTCATCATTACTTGGCACTTTCATTATTTTCAAATTTTGGTTATTATGTGTAGGGGAATGAACATAGGAGTGCAGATGTCTTTTCTGAATAGTTTTTGTTCTCTTTGGGTAGATGCCAAGAAGTGGAATTGTTAGGACACATGAAAGTTTAATTCTTAGTTTTACAAAGAGTATCCTTATTGTCTTCCCTAAAGGACTGGACCAGTTGATATTCCCACCAGTAGAGAATAAGGATCCATTTTTGCAGATATCCAAGCCAACACTAGTGGTTTCTGTTCTTCATGATGTGTGCCAGTCTAAAAGATGTGAGATGATATGTCATTGTTATTTTGATTTGCATTTCTCCTGCTGATATATGATACACAGCATTCTTTCATGTATCTTTTGATCATCTCTGTCTTCTTAAAGGAACTTTCTGTTCATCATTTTCCCCATTTTTTTAAATGGAGTTCTTTGTTTTTTGTCAAGTTCTACCAGTGCTTTATATTATCTTGAAGTTGAACACCAACCCTTTATCAGAGGAAATAATCTCTCAGTCTATGGGTTGTCTTTTAAATTTGGACAGCCTCTCCCTTAAGGAGTAGAAAAGCCTTAGTTTTGTACAGTCCCATTTGGTTTTTTTTTTTTTTTTTTACTATATCTCTAGATTCAATGTTGTGAAGTGTTTTACCCATTTTTTCTTTCTTTTTTTCAATAGAATGTCTGGATTCAGGCCTGATACTGAGGTATCAAATACCTTTTTGATTTTTGTGCATGGTGTAGTTAAGGACCCTCAAGCCCACAGCAAGCATCATACTAGAGAAAACCTGAACATCTCCCAGAGCCCTAAGATCAGGCACAAGACAAGGTTGTTCATTTTGGCAACTTTCCTTTCTGCACACTCTAGAGAGCTCTGAAATGATTAGAGCAGAGAAGAGACAGTCCCTTTTGCCATGAGGTTTTTGTCTTGTCTAGGAATTTAGTATCCATAAGATACATTGACAGCAGGAAACCAAAGTTAACGTACCTGAGACCCAAAGATATGAGGCTCAAAGATGAACCCAAACAGGTAGCTTTTGTACTTTCTTCCAGCAAAGAAGCAATATAGGTTGGCTTATCTAGCCTTCACGGCCCCACTTTTCCATCTCTGGAGATTAGGACACCCTGATCTTCTCTGTACAGGTCCTTCCAGGTCAGGTAGGACTATAGTACCTAATTTCATGGTGTGTGGGAGGGCTATGGGGATTTTTTTACTAGCTATTTTCTTCTTCTTTTTCTCTGGTGTGGGGGAGGGAGGACCATATCAGGGCTTACTCCTGACTCTGTGCTCAGGGGTTACTCCTTGTGGTAATTGGGGGACCATAATGGTGTGCTGGGAAAGGATCCCGGTTAGCTTGTATAAGGCCAGTATCCTGCTTGCTGTATTATCTTGCCAGGCCTACTGGCTGGTTCTTGTACGATTTGGAGGGAGAGGAACTTTCCAAGCGAATAATTGCATTTTTTAAAAAAAATTGCATCACCATGGATTACAAAGTTATTCATGACTTTCAGGCATACAGTGTCCCAACACCAATCCCAGTGTCCTTAGTTTCCCTCCTGTCCCCAGCCTGCCTGGATGGCAGCACCCCCCCCCCCCCCTCATCTCCCTTTCCCTCCTCCCCTTTAAGCACTGTGTATTACAATATTGTTGCTGATGGGGTATCAAGCATATCAGCTACCTCTTTTCAGCCCCCAGGCCTCCTCGGGTGACCTGTCTCCCCCATCATTGTCCAGACCTCTCTTCCCTAACCTATCCCCCTCATCCCCATCCCCACCCCCACCCCCCTGGCAAACTTCTTACTGAAGACTAGATCTCAAGCTCTTCATTTCTATTGCCTTGGGGCACTTGTTATTACTGAACCATATACCGCGCATATGAAAGAGATCTCAGTTTCCATCACTCCCACTCCCTCCAACTTCTCTAGGCATGAGACCTTCAGATACCATCCACATAGCTGTGTCTTTAAAAATATAATTTAATTAAAAGGAATCACAAATGCCAGAGTGGCAACCTTCCAAGTATCCTTCTGCTCTCAAGCAGTACCTGCCCGGGTGGAGGTGCTGCACCCAGGGCGACGGGTCAGAGGGAATGCACGGTGCCCTGAGCAACCTCACCCTGAACTCCTCCCTGGACCTACTCACGGGATGCTCCTGCATCTCATGCGCGGAGCTCTTCCCAAGCCCCATTCACAGGATCCTCCTACACCCGGACCCATCGAGCTCGGCCGTGATCCCAATCAAGGGATCCTTCTGCATCCCGACTTGTCGAGCTCCTCCCGGGACCCACTCACGGGATCCCCCTGCACCCCGACCCGCCGAGCTCCTCCCAGCACCCACCCAAGAGATCTTCCTGCACCCCGACCCGCCGAGCTCCTCCCAGCACCCACCCAAGAGATTCTCCTGCACCCCGACCCGCCGAGCTCCTCCCAGCACCCACTCAGGAGATCTTCCTGCACCCCGACCCGCCGAGCTCCTCCCAGCACCCACCCAAGAGATCCTCCTGCACCCCGACCCGCCGAGCTCCTCCCAGCACCCACCCAAGAGATCCTCCTGCACCCCGACCCGCCGAGCTCCTCCCAGCACCCACCCAAGAGATCCTCCTGCACCCCGACTCGCCGAGTTCCTCCCAGCACCCGCCCACGGGATCCTCCTGCACCCCGACCCGCCGAGCTCCTCCCAGCACCCACCCAAGAGATCCTCCTGCACCCCGACCCGCCGAGCTCCTCCCAGCACCCACCCAAGAGATCCTCCTGCACCCCCACCCGCCGAGCTCCTCCCAGCACCCACCCAAGAGATCTTCCTGCACCCCGACCCGCCGAGCTCCTCCCAAGTCCCACTCACAAGATCCTCCTGCACCCCGACCCGCCGAGCTCCTCCCAGCACCCACCCAAGAGATCCTCCTGCAACCCGACCCGCCGAGCTCCTCCCAGCACCCACTCAGGAGATCTTCCTGCACCCCGACCCGCCGAGCTTCTCCCAAGTCCCACCCAAGAGATCTTCCTGCACCCCGACCCGTCGAGCTCCTCCCAGCACCCACTCAAGAGATCCTCCTGCACCCCGACCCGCCGAGCTCCTCCCAGCACCCACCCAAGAGATCTTCCTGCACCCCGACCCGTCGAGCTCCTCCCAGCACCCACCCAAGAGATCTTCCTGCACCCCGACCCGCCGAGCTCCTCCCAAGTCCCACTCACAAGATCCTCCTGCACCCCGACCCGCCGAGCTCCTCCCAGCACCCACCCAAGAGATCCTCCTGCACCCCGACCCGCCGAGCTCCTCCCAGCACCCACCCAAGAGATCCTCCTGCACCCCGACCCGCCGAGCTCCTCCCAGCACCCGCTCACGGGATCCTCCTGCACCCCGACCCGCCGAGCTCCTCCCAGCACCCACCCAAGAGATCCTCCTGCACCCCGACCCGCCGAGCTCCTCCCAGCACCCACCCAAGAGATCCTCCTGCACCCCGACCCGCCGAGCTCCTCCCAGCACCCACCCAAGAGATCCTCCTGCACCCCGACCCGTCGAGCTCCTCCCAGCACCCACCCAAGAGATCCTCCTGCACCCCGACCCGCCGAGCTCCTCCCAGCACCCGCTCACGGGATCCTCCTGCACCCCGACCCGCCGAGCTCCTCCCAGCACCCACCCAAGAGATCCTCCTGCACCCCGACCCGCCGAGCTCCTCCCAGCACCCGCCCACGGGATCCTCCTGCACCCCGACCCGCCGAGCTCCTCCCAGCACCCACCCAAGAGATCCTCCTGCACCCCGACCCGCCGAGCTCCTCCCAGCACCCGCTCACGGGATCCTCCTGCACCCCGACCCGCCGAGCTCCTCCCAAGTCCCACTCACAAGATCCTCCTGCACCCCGACCCGCCGAGCTCCTCCCAGCACCCACCCAAGAGATCTTCCTGCACCCCGACCCGCCGAGCTCCTCCCAGCACCCACCCAAGAGATCTTCCTGCACCCCGACCCGCCGAGCTCCTCCCAGCACCCACTCAGGAGATCTTCCTGCACCCCGACCCGCCGAGCTCCTCCCAGCACCCACTCAGGAGATCCTCCTGCACCCCGACCCGCCGAGCTCCTCCCAGCACCCACCCTAGAGATCTTCCTGCACCCCGACCCGCCGAGCTCCTCCCAGCACCCACCCAAGAGATCCTCCTGCAACCCGACCCGCCGAGCTCCTCCCAGCACCCACCCAAGAGATCCTCCTGCACCCCGACCCGCCGAGCTCCTCCCAGCACCCGCCCACGGGATCCTCCTGCACCCCGACCCGCCGAGCTCCTCCCAGCACCCGCTCACGGGATCCTCCTGCACCCCGACCCGCCGAGCTCCTCCCTGGGTCGGCCCCGCCCAAGGCACTCCCGCCCGCCCCGAGCTCCTCCGGGCACCAGCTCCCTAGCGCCCGCGCCCCCGCCGCCCGCCCGCCGCGATGCCCCTGCTCTGGCTGGTGCCCGTCGGGCAGAAGCTGCTGCTCTGGAGCGCGCTGGGCGCCGCGGTGCTGGGCGCCTTCTCGCTGCTGCTCAACCTCCTGCGCGCGGTGACCTTCTACTCGCGGAACTGGCTGCGGCTGCGGGTCGTGCCCACGGTCTCGGGCGCCCTGCCCTTGGTGGGACACGCGCTGGTGATGAAGCCGGACCCCAGGGGTAAGGGGCCCCGCGGGGGCCCGGGCCACCCGGACAAGGCTGCGTCGCCCTGGCCGCCTAGGAGCGCTCTGGGCCCGGGGACGCCGAGGCCACGCGGCTCTGTCTCTTCCTTGACCGCTGCTGTCCGGCAACTCCGAAGGGCTGGCTGCCCCAGGCTCTCTCTGCCCAAGGGGAGATGCTGGCCAGGGGCCAGCTCGACTCTCGGCGCTCTCTCTCCTTCCTCCCTCCTCTCGCTCCCTCTCTCTACAAAACAGCAAAAAGTTTGTTTTCTCTCTCTGCCGGGTCCTTCCTCGAGCTAGGAAAGTCAGTTTCTCTCTCTTGGTTCTGTTCTCTCTCCCCATAGTGGCTCTTCCTTCCTCCCCTCCCTCTTCTTCTCTCCACAAAACAGCCCATTTAGTTTTTTTTTTTCTCTCTCCTCCCTCCCTACAAGTTTTTGTTTCTCTCTGTCCCTCCCCACATACAACACGTGTCCCGCCCTCTCCCTTCTCCCCTCCTCCTTCCCTCTTTCCCCCCCTTCCTCTTTCCCTCTCTCCCTCCCTCTCCTGCTGAAGATCGCTTTAAGACTCCTCTCCTGGCCTGTGGATGAGGACACTAGTCTGCAACTTAAATGACCTCTTGACTTTCTTATTTAAACACTTTTAGGGAAGTTATATAACAGGCATTCATAGCCAGGCTGCCTTGGGCAACCGTCCATAACAAGTTTCCACCACTTCATCGGAGACCTTTTATTTGTGTTTGTTTTTAACTGGAGTAGACTATTATCTGTAATATATACGCAGGTTTATATTACAGTGTGTTGATGGGAAATCACTTTGTTAGATACCTCTCGAAAGTACCTGGTTTTACAACCCCCCATCAGGGAGATGAGTGAGGTTTTAGCATATCCTCTCCATGAGTAGGCAGAGAGATGCAAAGAAAAAAAAGAAAGAAGAAAAAAGAAGAAGAAGAAGAAGAAGAAGAAGAAGAAGAAGAAGAAGAAGAAGAAGAAGAAGAAGAAGAAGAAGAAGAAATGCTCAAAATGGCAAACTGACTCCAAGTTTAAATTGATCTCTGTCCATCCACAATTTGTTAGCAGTCATTAACATGCTCATCATTAATTCCAAAGCTGGAATTATTATGTTTCCCCAAGTAAATACAATGATGTCATGTCCTATTCATGGGAATATGAGGAGGTTCTATGGGAGTGTGCTCCGAGATAGGGAGGATGTTTACTTAAAGAAGAAATCAAACAAACCTTGAACAATCAAACATCTGTCCAACCTATCAGTGATCCAATAGCACATTTAGATAGAAAAGAAGAATTGCATTAAAAAACATCTTAGTGAATAGTAAGGGCAAACTACCACCCTTTTTTCCCTAAGACTCTGTCCTTTAAAATATATATAAAATGTATATATAAATTTATAATATAAAATTTAGATATAATTTTATATATTATAAAATATATAAAAAATTCTGTTCCCCCAGAGCTTCAAGAATCTCACCATACTCATTGTATTCTTATTTTTTTTAATCTTCCCTTTGTTGTTACGATAATGATGAGGCTAGGGATGGAGATTCACATACTTGGTCATGGTGGTTCCAAGTCAGGAGACCCCACACTTCACTTGTGGGGCCTGAGATCCCAATCGGCAGTGCTGCTGGGTTTGGAGTGTAACTGCCAGATCTCCAACAGAGACCTCCCCACCCAATGCCCCCTCCTCATAATTTTAGCGGGATAAAGTATATTTTTAATCATAGAAATGTATTATCTTAGGAATCATCTTCAAATAGACTTTATTTATGAAAATTAAGGAGTGCTTATTTGCACTTAATAATTTTTGCTATCATTTAGGTGACATGATTATAATCATGCTAATATTCATGGTTTTGGTGGCAAGGACTGCACCTTTATCCCACCCAAGTGCCCAGACCATCCACTTCTGCTCTTATGTCACCTTGAGTCCAATTCTTCATTCCACATCGCCCCTACCCCCATTGCTTGATATTCCGCTGTGAGTAAAGGTCAAAGGTTTGTCCTCGTTTGTTATTGTTCATTCCTCTATATTGTTGCTCTGTGTTCCACAGATGAGTGAGATAATCAGCATTTATTCTTCTCCTGCTGGCTTATTTCACTTAGTATGATGCCTTCTAGTTACACTGGAGGATAATTTTACCATTGAAATTGCCAGTGCTTAAGACTTACTTCAAAATAAATTCTGAGCGTTACTTTTCAGATGAAGAGGATGAAAATGTATTGTCTTCTCAAAGGGACTTTGCAATCCATCAACAAGCACTGGATTTGTACATCAGGCAACTCTGTGCTTAGTTTCATCTTACAACCAAATTGTCCAACTTTGAAATGTTGTTCACAGTTAAGTTACAGTTATTTGTCCTTTACTTGTAAAAGCAACTATATTACAAGGTAATTTTAAATATTATTGAGTACATACAGTCCAGATTACTTTTAGAACTTATTTATAATAAGTTCCTTAACCATCAGAAGCTTTCATTAATGACTTGCTAAGCACCGAATTTAGCAAAGTTATGGCTATCCAAATAATCTAGATACATTCCCTATTTTAAATCACTTATCCCACTCCTGCTCTCACTCCTTTGTTACCAGGAACTGCACTGGCGAATCAGTGTACTTTGTTATTTTGTGTCATATTTTGTTTTACACTGTGGTGCAAGAATCCAACCTCATGCTAATATATTCAAGGCAAGCACTCTGAGCTACCTCAAAGAGTCCCCTGAGCTATCTGCCACTGCTTTCTTCTACAGCAGGCTGTACCTTTTCATACAGCGACTATGGCTTAAGTTCTAGTCAGCACTCACAAATGGATTCGTAGAGCTGACTTCCCATCGGCCTCTCCAACTCTGACTTCTTGCCTTTCTGGTTCATTATGCCAAGATCTACCTTGACCACCTTACTCTCAGTGTTAGACTTGATTGGTAACTTTAAACCCCAGATTCAGATTTCCATGTCTCTTCTGTCAGACAGACTAAGGGGAGGCAGTATATCACTTAGAAGCGCCATGTTTTGTCACTGAGATTTGATCCAGCTGTTTCCACCCCAATTTCAACAATTGTTTAGTTTGGAAGCACATAGGAAGCAGTGTTGCCTAATGGGTAAGGAGGCTTGTTCTGTGTTCTGGTTGCCTTGGGTACAAAGCCAGGTATACTGTTGTCCAGCTCTGTGATACTGAGTGAGAAAGTTAAGTGGGAACAATTTCCCCACCCATGCAATGATAGAAACAATGACAAATGAATGGCGCTCTACCTAACAGAGGCAAGGGTGTCACTACTTTGGCTTCTCTTAATGCCCTGCTGCCTTCTTCAGACTGAGATCACATGGATAGTGACACAAAAAAGTGTTCATTCCCATCTTCCGCACAGAACTTTGATGCTGTAGTTGGGATTCATGGCCATATTTCCCCAACCCAATACTGGGGCCATGTACAATTGTAAAGCCAGGTGAGAGCCTTCACCTGCTGCTCGGAACCTTATAATTTTTAGCAGCTCAGAAGCTCTCTGCGGTTCCATCTTATCCAGGAGCTTACAGGTCTTATGGGCTGGAGTGATAGCATAGTGGGTAGGGAGTTTGCCTTGCACACGGCTGACCTGGGTTTGATTCCTCCAACCCTCTCAGAGAGCCTGGCAAGCTACCGAGAGTATCCCACCCGCACAGCAAAGCCTAGCAAGATACCCGTGATGTCTTCGATATGCCAAACACAGTAACAACAAGTCTCACAATGGAGATGTTACTGGTGCCCTCTCAAGCAAATCCATGGAAAATGGGAGGACAGTGCTCCAGTGCTACAGGTCTTATAGGTTTAGTGTTAACTGTCCTAAAGTACAAGTCCCATCCTGTGGGTGCACTTCAGAAACTTGCAGCTGCTCTTAGAGCCCTTAAAAGACAACACATATGGTCCCTCGACAGTCAAGTCTCATCTCCCAGTGCTATCGCCCCTGGCCCTATATTTGCACTGAACCTCAGGGGATAATCAGGCAGGCCCTGTGCCTTGGCTCTGCTGCTTGTGTCACTGCTTGGCCCCCATTCTCTTTCTCAGCCCCACTTCCCTTTTTCCCTTTTTACAAATTCATCCTTTAATGATCCCATGCCATCTGCCTCATTGTATTTCCTAGACCTCTTAGTCAGAATCAGTAATTCCTCAGGCTTAATCTTCTCTTTTATTGATTTTCTCACAGGCCACACCCAGAGGTGCTCAGGGTTTACTCCCGGGTTCTGTGTACAATGATCTCTCTTATAGGGCCTGAGGAAGTAGATCAGGTGCTGGGGATCAAACCCGGGTCTGCTGAGCACAAGGCAAGTGCCCTATCCACTGGAGTATGTCTCCGGCACCTTAAACTTTTGTTAAGTTCAAATAAATCACTTTATTCTCTACAGTAGTGTGAATTATTACAGAAGTGACCTCTGCAATGATGTTTAGTTACTGAGAGGAGGGTCTGAGCCCCATGAATGTGCTTATTCTGTGCCTACAGAAAGCTGGTAATCACATCATACTCATATCCAGTTTTGAGTATAGGATAGGAGACTGATTGACATGATTATAAAATTTCTTATCTATCTCTAGATTGCCCTCAAGGTTACTGAGTAATTCTAATTAGCTCAATGACTTTTTCTTGTATTTATTATGACAGCTCTTTCATATTTTGTCACATTTCCAAATCTAGTTCCACCTGCACATAGATCTACATTGTAAATTCCCCCCTACATTAAAGAAAATATGAACATAGGCCAATTTTTTTTAACATATTTATATGTGACCTGGCTTCATCACCCACAACATTTCTTTAAAAATATTCCTTCAGCTTACTTCTTATATCAAGTTTCAGAAAACTAAACTAAGCTGCCTTCTTTATTTTAACATTTTGTTACTTTGAAATAACTTTAAATGTTAAGAAAAGTTGGAATGATAATGAGCATTTCTACATGTCAACCAGATTTTTCTACTGCTTTATACCACTGGCATAAATACCAAAATGCAGAAATTAGTACTTATTAAAAAATAATACCAAAGTGCATGCTTTATTTGAATTTCAAAACTTTCCCCAGTAGTGAACTTTTTCTGTTCTAGGACTCAATCCAAGATCACATGTGGGTTTGAGTAACTGTGTTCCCTTAGTTTCATCAGTTGTGTTTTTTTTCTCTCAATCTTTCAATATCTTTTATGGTTATAAAAGGTCTGTGGAGTACTGGTCAGGTGTTTTGTAGAATCTGTTTCAATATGCAGTTGTCTGTTACTTTCTCCTGTCTAGATAGTAACTAATCATCTTTGACAAGAACACCATATGAGCTACACTGTGTCCCACTCAGACTCAGTACATGGTAGAGCTATACACTGGTGGAGCTTTTGTTAACCTCGGTCTCTTGATTAAAGTGGTGTGTGTTGGTCATTTCACTCTAAAGTTACTCTTTCCCTTTGCAACTGAACAATGCAGATAGCACTGTACTGTAGCACTGTTGTCCTGTTGTTCATTGGTTTGCTGGAGCAGGCACCAGTAGCGTCTCCATTGTGAGACTTCTTGTTACTGGTTTTGGCATATTGAATATGCCACAAGTAGCTTGCCATCCTTTGCCGCGAGGGTGGGACACTCTTGGCAGCTTGCTGGGCTCTCTGAGAGGGGCAGAGGAATCAAACTCCAGTCAGCCATGTGCAAGGCAAACGCCCTACCCGCTGTGCTATCGCTCCAGCCCAAACAATACAGATAAATCATATAAATAGTTAGATGCATTACCCATTCCTTTTCATTCCTCTAGCACCCAGTATTGTTCATTCTCCAGTGGGTCTTGTCTAACATTTTTGCTGTTGTCATTCCAAAACTATAATTGTGTATTTCCTAGATTTCTTCTTTGCACAGAAACTAGAATATTTCTGTAAGGAAGAGTTTTCCCCTTAGCATTGATGTGTATATGTATGCATATAGGTACAAAGGTACAAAAATATGCCTGCATATTCGTATAAATACATGTATGTTTGCTTTATTCTATATATAACGATCTGTGACATATAAAATATTATGTTATTTGTTTTATTTCACTATTTCAGCTATTTGGCAAACTTTCAGATTGGCTTCTTGATTTTTCAACATAGCCAGAATTTTTGAGCACCTTCATATCTTCTGACACCATAATCCATTTCATTTATCTTATGTTTTCCCTGATTCAACCCTAAAATCAATAACTTTTTTTTTTGCTTTTTGGGTCACACCCAACAATACACAGGGCTTACTCATGGCTCTGCACTCAGGAATTACCCCTGGTGGCGCTCAGGGGACCATATGGGATGCTGGGAATCAAACCTGGGTTGGACGCGTGCAAGGAAAATGCCCTACCTGCTGTGCTATTGCTCCAGCTCCTTAAAATCAATAACTTTTAAGAAGATACTTATTAATTTTATTGGCAAAAGATTTCCAGAAACTGAGGTGTGGATGTTAGTACAAAGATGATATTGGGAGTCAAACTGGAAGGCCACGTTACCAAAATATTTGGTTTGTATTCTTTAGAGACATCTTATTATCTTATTCCTACTTTGGACACACTGGCAGGCTACCGAATGTAACCTGCCCACACGGCAGAGTCTGGCAAACTCCCCGTGGCGTACCCAATATGCCAAATACCAGTAACAATGATGGGTCTCATTCTCCTAACCCTGAAAGAGCCTTGAATATGGCACTTTTAAAAAAATCTCAGGGCTAGGACGAAGGAGACGTTACTGGGATCTGCCTAAGGCAATCGACGAACAACAGGATGGTCGTGATCGTGATCTTTAGAGACATTGAAGAAAAATCACATTTAAGATGATGCTTAAGTAGTACATCAGTGATATGAGATGGAGCCAACAAGAGCACAGCTTTTCAGAAAGAGAAAAAGTTTATAGCAGACCTTGAGAAGGTTGGAAGGATTCTTATGTTTTCTTTCTATCAAAAGGCTGCATGAGCCCATCTAAAGAAAGTTAATGGGGTGGGGTGGGGAAGATGCTAGGAGATATCTCAAAGGGTTCAGACGCAGAGGTCTTGGGTTGGAAGCCTGGTCCACATGGTCCTCTGAGCACTGCATGTATAGCTGTGGGCTTGTGGTTTCTAGCACTGCTAGACAGAGTATCTGCAGCACTGCATACCCATCCCACCCAGCTGGGCATATCTTCCCCCACACCCTCAGATTCTGACTCTGATCAGCTCTGCCGGGTAGCCCCACTGGAAACAAATGTAGACACCAAAAGTCTTATTTGGTTCTTTTTTAAAAATATAATTTTTAAACTGAGATGCACAGTAAAAAAAGCTGTTGATGAACAGGTTTCAGTCATACAATGATCCAACACCCATCCCTCCACCAGTGTTTTTTTTCCTACCACCCATAACCCCAGTGTCCCTCTCCTCTTTGTAAACACACTTCAAGAGTCACCATCTAAGTGTCTTTACAGGAACATGTGAAGTTTGGCATTTCACAATTTGCCATGTTATTATGACATTCACAATTTTTTTTAACATTCACAATTAAATGATGGGACCAAGCACCAAAAAGATCATAGAGATGGTCCCACAGGGTCACCTAAATACTGAGAATCACAGAATACAGCCCTGAAGAAGACCCCAAGTTACTGCCAGGATGGTCCTTCTGGTCTGGAAACAGAGCAGTTGAGGATATACATCCTCCTGGTCCAGCTGTCTCTGATTCACCAGGAGTGGCCCTGGACCCCTTAAGCATCATATGGGAGCCCTCTCCAAACAAAATATGACCAAAAATTTTATCATCCTCATGATTCAATAGAGCTGGAGCGATAGCACAGCTGGTAGGGCGTTCGCCTTGCAACCGGCCAACCTGGCCAACCCGAGTTCAATTCCTCCACCCCTCTCAGGGATCCCGGCAAGCCACCAAGAGTATCTCACCCACACGGCAAAGCCAGGCAAGCTACCCATGACATATTCGATATGCGTCAGTATATCGAAGTAACAGTAACAACAAGTCTCATGATGAAGATGTTACTGGACCCGCTCGAGCAAATCGATGAACAACAGGAGGACAGTGCTACTGTGTACATGATTCAATCATTAGAGCAGTTTATTGAGACTTGTGGTTTACTATACATTGAGAGACATGTGGGTGGGCGTTTGTTTACTTTCTAAACTTAAACAAGCAGGTTTAACCCCCCAAGTCATATTATAAAAATAAGGAACATGTTATAAATTTCTTATATTTATTGAGTTAGAAAGGAAGTATTTACTGATTCAGGTTTTTAATTTAAGCTTTTTTTTTCTTCAGAATTTTTTCAGCAGCTAATTACTTATTCTGAAGAATACCGACAAATGCCACTGATAAAACTCTGGCTTGGGCCAGTGCCATTGGTAGTCCTTTACAAAGCAGAAAATGTGGAGGTGAGTCTGCAGTAACTAGGATCAAAGTCCCGCTGTCTGCTGGAACTGCACTGAATTAATGTAGCACTAGTGTGTAGTGCAACTTGTGTTGTGCAACTTGTGTCTCATGATGACAGTCAGCATCTGTCTTGAGCAGTCCTGTAAACACTGGAGGCCCCTCTGGGGCCAGATAATGGCTGCTTGGTGCTCTCTGCATCCTGGGGAGTGTCGTCTAATAGCTCTCTCTCACGTTTATGGTCAGAAACAAATACGTGTTTCCCTTGCATTGCAAGTGGGCACAAGGATAGGTTGTTACGCAAGGAACGCACTTGTGACCTGTCAGGCACTGATTTAAGGTTGTGAAAACAAAACACTAATAAAATATGAGTGTTTGCCTCAGGGTACCCAGAGTCTAAAAAATTATTCTTCCAAATCAGTTTTTTGAAAATGGAAACGATATTGACAGAGAGCAGATATGGCTAATCCATGCTGTTGAAAATAAGTGTCAAATGTAAAAGGCATGTTATTTTTAGTAGAATGTGGAGGAATGTGTAGTTACCTTGGGTTTGATGAAAAAGAGGTTTATGCCCGGGAGGAAAAAAAATGGAGTTAGTAGGTCTTTTCATATAACAAAGTTAAAAACAAAAATTCCTTGGGAGAGGTGCTGGGATTTGTCTTTTAGAGGTATTATGGTGACAGTGTTGGAGTTTTTCTTGTACCATCCCTTAGAGTCTTGGTTCAGAGAATATAGTGAAGGTTCAACCGCTTCCTCATATAAAGAGTTGTCCAGAGGACATGGGCAAGAGCAAGAACCATGGACACACTTAATGGTCAGAACTAAGTGTTCATATTTTTTACTTCTAATTGTCGAGACACTCCATGAGTTTTCTAGCTCATGAGTGAATTCTGAACCCCTACCTGCTATCAGATCATGGAAAGCTGAATGTCTCCAAGGCAACATACCTGAATATGGACTCATTTTTTCGGTCTCCATAAATGTGCTCCTCTGTATTCACTGCCTCATTTTCTCGAGCTGTCCCCTGGCTTAAAAAATGATACCACTTTTTTTTTTGTAGTTCATATAGGAACCGTGAATCTTCTTGGATATTTTCATCTCTCTCTACTCCATTAAGTGCCCAATATTGAATGACAGTTTTACATTCAAATCTCTACTTGACTTTTGTTGAGAGACAGGAATGAAAATGAATCACAAACAAATAAGGGTTATAAGATGTTATTTTAAAAAGCTGCTGTGTTCTGAAATTGTTGAAAAAGTTGAAATTGTTCTGATGTCTCTAATGCGTCTTTAAAATGTTTTTTTTTCTTTTTCCTAGACAATTTTAAGTAGTTCAAAGCAAATCGATAAGTCCTATATGTACAGGTTTCTAAAACCATGGCTTGGCCTTGGACTCCTTACAAGGTAAGTGGCCATGTGGAAGGCTGTCTTGTAAAGCAGTGCCTCCAGGGGTAATTTATTTAAGTGATAATGGAAATGGGGGGGAGGGGTGAAGAAAATCTAACATTTACATGTATAGCTTAGAAGTTTAGAAACATTCTTAAAATTTGTAATTTTATGATAGCTTTCTTCAACATTCATAATATAAAGGAGTATTCAAAATATTTACCTCTTTTGGGGCTGGAGAGATAGCATAGCGGGTAGGGCGTTTGCCTTGCACACGGCCGACCCAGGTTCAATTCCCAGCATCCCATATGGTCCCCTGAGCACCGCCAGGAGTAACTCCTGAGTGCAGAGCCAGGAGTAACCCCTGTGCATTGCCAGGTGTGACCACCCCCCCAAAAAAAAGGCAAAAAAAAATATTTACCTCTTTTAGCTCTTTGGAGATTTTGGCAAAACATTTAAGAATACGTAGCCCATCTGTTTTAGGAAAATGTTGTTGATATCCCTTATATTTATGCTTTGTTTTGGGTTGTTGCTTCTATGTTATCTGTCACCATCCTTGGTATTTCTAGTACTGGGAGCAAGTGGCGCTCCAGGAGGAAAATGTTAACTCCAACGTTCCACTTTACAATTCTGGAGGACTTCTTAGACGTCATGAATGAACAATCCAAGATACTGGTTAAGAAGCTCGAAAAACATGTTAACCAGAAAGAATTTGACTGCTTTTTCTACATCACTCTTTGTGCCTTAGATATCATCTGTGGTACGTCTCAATTATTGCTACCTCTAATATGACAGGGAGAGAGAGAGAGAGAGAGAGAGAGAGAGAGAGAGAGAGAGAGAGAGAGAGGTGTTTGCCATAGAGACATAGGTGGGGTGAGAGGTGTTTTACAGAGGTGTGAGAGAAACTGGGGACACTGTTGTTGGGAAATTACACCGGTGGAGGGATGGGTATTGGAATATCGTATGACTGAACCTATTCATGAACAGCTTTGTGACGGTCTATCTTACAGTGATTCAATAAAATAAATTTTAAAAAATGATTGCTTCCTACTGTTGGCCTATAAAGAAGAAATGGCCCAAATGAATAGTAGCGGGCCCTGGGAAGGCCAGTGGAGGGGCTGTTAGGACACTGGGCGCTTCCAGAAGTTCTATTGCTGAACAAATTGCCTGAGAAGCATCAGCCGTTCCCTGGTTCCTGAAGAAGAGGAAAAAGCCAACATGCCAGGAAGGAGAAAGGGAAGAATGGCAGGAGAGAGAGGAGAAGCAGGAGGCCCAGGAGCAGAGCAGAAGGGGGGAAAGAACACACCCAAAATTCATTAGAACAGAAAGGCATGTATTTCTCTTCCCAGATGTTGTCCCTTAGAGGATAAACAGAAGAAATGAAATGTGCTGAGCTGAATGATGGTTTCTTACAATGTTTTACAGAAACAGCAATGGGGAAGAATATTGGTGCTCAGTGGAATGAAGATTCTGAGTATGTTCGAGCAGTTTATAGGTAAACAGATTTCTTTTGTTTATTTTATAAACATTACTAATGAGAGCTTAAAAATAGTTTCATTGTGTGTGTGTCTGTGTGTCTTTCAAGTTAAAAAACTGAAGCTACAGTAAAAATTAGCCCAATGTTTTAATATCATTTCAACAACAGAGGAAGACTGGGAAAATGTGACTGATTGATATTATGCTTAATTTGAAATAATAATGTATCATTGTAGCACTGTCATCCTGTTGTTCATCTATTTGCTCAAGCAGGCTCCAGTAATGTCTCTATTTGTCCCTGTCACATGCTAGTGTAGCCCAATGGTGTCTGCTCCATCCAAAAAAACTAAGGGAGGGCCGTTATTGTTACTGTTTTGGGCATACTAATATGCCATGGGTAACTTCCAGGTTCTGCCATGGAATAATGTATCAAAATATTAATTTTTTTTGCTTTTTGGGTCACATCCTGCAATGCACAGGGATTAATCCTGGCTCTCCACTCAGGAATTATTCCTGGTGGTGCTCAGGGGACCATATGGGATGCTGGGAATCTAACCCAGTTCGGCTGTGTGCAAGGCAAACGCCCTAGGCTCTGTACTATCACTCCAGCACCAAAACTATTAAAATATTTTTGTAGTGTAACTGCTAAGTATACATTTTTAATAATAAAAGCTAGAAAATTCTATATAAATGATAGTTATGGCTATTATTGCTTCATCCATGTAGCCTTTATTCCAGCTGCATTTTTGTTATTCTCTCTATATTATTTTAAAGTTATTTTTCTTTTAAACTTTATTATATTTTTAGAGAATCAAGGTAGTTTTTATCGAATAAAACTTGCCTAGAGAAATGTGCAAGAACAAAAAGAGAGGAAATGTATCCAAGAGAGAAACAAATTTCTCCGAAGTGGAAGCAAGCAAGCACGTGAGATACTTGTTTGAGGGGAAACACAGCCTTGAAGAGCAAGCCAAGCCTTTTGAGTCTCAAACTACTTGCTCTTATTCAACTAACCAGAAACAGGGTCAGAAATTGATTGGCTACCTCAGTAAACCCACTGCTCATTTCACTGCTTAAAATATTTATTGGGCATCTTTAGTTTGTTATCCATTATGCAAGGAACTGATTCGTTTTATTGTGGCACATACAAGAGAACAATATAGGGAACAAGCACTGAACAAAATATACACTTATAAGTGATAGTAAATACTTTGCAAAGATAAATTTGATATTGGAGAAGAAAACCATGGTATGGTCCAGGTAAGGGTGCCCTAGCTCCATTGATGGAAACGGTAAGTGATGTGCTGGGGGCACTTTCTGTAGAAGAGGGCAGTAACTTTTGTTTCTTATTCCAGAGGAGTGATCAAGCCAATAACTGGTCATTGACAGGAGGCAGATTTTATCATAAGAGCCCCATAGAGCCTTAGAATGTGAAATTGTCAGGAAAAATATGCAGAGATAAGATGATTATCTATCAAGACTAATATTATTTCTCTACTTTTCCTTCCTCTAAAGAAATGGCTTTTTTTTTTTTTGCTTTTTGGGTCACACCCAGCAATGCACAGGGGTTCCTCCTGGCTCTTCATTCAGGAATCACTCCTGGTGGTGCTCAGGGGACCATATGGGATGCTGGGAATCGAATCCGGGTCGGTCTCATGCAAGGCAAACGCCCTAGCCTCTGTGCTATTGCTCTAGCCCTGAAATGATTAACTTTTTAAGTTTTACCAAATACCAAGCTGGATTGATGAGCATGAAACACTGATCCCATTGTAGCCTGTGAGTTTTCATTATCTTATTAATGTTCTTTAAGACCTCTCATGAAGTAGGTGCTCAAGAAAGAGGGCAGAAGAAATTGTACAGGGGTTCAGGCCTTGCGTGTGGTCAACCCCAGCTCAATCACTGGCACTACTCTATCCCCCCAAGCATCTCTGGGTGCACTCCTGGAGGCTCCTTAAGCACCGGCGGGTATGACACTGGAGAACCCAGAGCTTTCCTAGTGGCACCAGGTAATGCCTGCCAATGTAAGGGCTGTACAAGACACTCTCAGGCTTCAGCACCAAACCAGTGACTGTCCAGAGATCACCGGAAAGTGGCACCCAGATTCCTGAGCATTGCTTTGAAGGGCCCCTCCCCCACTAAAAAGAAATATGTTAGCCACCTCACCAATCTATTTTTCCATCTTCTATGTAGTATGAGTGACATAGCACTTCAAAGAATGAAGATGCCTTGGCTGTGGAGTGATACTCTATTCCTTTTGTTTAAGAAAGGATGGGAACACAAAAGGAGCCTAAAGGTCTTGCATGATTTTACCAACAGTGTAAGTTTCTAATTCTGCTTACTTCTTTTTTGTTTGTCTCTTTTGGACTGTGCTCAGCAGTGCTTACAAGAAATCCTCCGGGCTTAGTGCTCAGGAGTTTTTCCCAGCAGTGCTACGATGACCATGCGGTGCCAGGGAGTGAACTTGGGCCTCCTGCAGGCACAGTATGTGCTTTGACCTATTTCTCTCACCTCATATGTATCTGTAATTTTGTTTGTTTATTTGGAGGCTCAGGGCTTAGTCTTTGATCTGCCTTCAGGAATCACCCCTTGGGGGACCATATGTCTGTGGTGCTGGTGATCCAACCTGGGTCAGCTGCATGCAAGACAAGCCCCTTACCTGCTGTACTGTATCTCCAGCCCATAAATCTCTAATTTCCCATCGTAGTAAAATACTCACAACTCTAAATTATTTATTATAATCTTAAATTGGTGGCATAAAGTACATTTGAAGTACATTGTTCCACTAGCCACTACGTAAGAATATCTATGTATCATGACTTTTATGCTTTGTTGACATACACAGTATAGAGCCATGAAAATTGTCTTTGATAAGATAAGCATTGAGATAAAAATATAATGGGGATCGGAGAGGTAGAGATATTCCAGCAGGTCAGGTGCTTGCCTTGCCTGTGACTGTCCCACATTTTATCCCATTTTAACCACATGAGGTTCCCTGAGTTCTTCAGGCTGTCCCATAAGCACTGCCAGGAGGATACCTGAAAGATGAGACAGGAATAATCCCAGAGCACAACCAGATGTGGCATTTAAACAAACAACAAATAGATAATAATGGACAAAAGTGAGGCATATTTAAATTTAAATTAGGTTCAGCAAACATTAAATCTTTTTCTAGAGGCCAAACACTGAACCCAGTATGCAATGTTTGTATGTGTGCTTCTACTCTAAAGAGGGTTGTTTAGTCTGATAGGAGAGCTTATCTATAGGCGTACCATTACAAAAAGTGAGATAGGTATGAACTTTTATTAATAAGCAGATTTTGATGTTAAAAGAAAAAAGAATTGGGCTTGGAGATATCTCAAAGATCTAGAGCACCAGATTGGCACACAGAGATCCTGGGGCAGATCCCAGCTACCACATGTCTCTGGTCCCCCAGGCCCCCCATGGTATCGATTCTGCATTATAATCAGTAATTTATGAACTCCAAGTTGGGTAGACTATAGTATTGGTGATTCAATATTGAAAATGTTATCCTGTTGGGGTACTTAAAGGAGGAATAAGGGATGTGTATGATACCCTATAAGTATTGCAAACAAAAGTGCCTAAAAAGAAAAAAAGTGTATGCTCTCAAGAAGACAGGGAGAGGAGTTGGAGGTCAGGAAGGTGAGGTTTAGGGACACTGGTGGAGGGGACATGGAAATTGGCAAAATGATTGGTATTGGAAAACTGTATACCTGTAACTCAATCATGAAATCCTTTGTAACTTTGTAATTCGTGGTGATTCAGTAAAAAATTTAAAGGAAAACAAATCATCCGGAGTATCAGACTATGAGGAATGCCCCAAGAATATAAGAACATGTGGTACTTTGTGCTCAATAATACATAGAATCTGTGTGTATGGATCACTTATTGTTGGATTGGATCATTTTCCTGCTAGGAGAATCAAATGAAATGTATCCCAAATTAATTTCATGGAGAATTCTTTCATTCATTCACAAGTATCTGGTGAGTGTTTTTTTTCCAATGCCAAGCAGTCTTCTAGAGTTTAAAAACGTATCAGTGAGCAAAGACAAGGTGGATCGTTGTTTGAGTCAGAGGTGAAAGAGATTGAATACAAGGACAATAAAATGTTAGTGGAAAATGGAGAGGAAAACAAGAACCCAGTGGCAGGAGGATAGTGAATGTTAGAGATGCACAGAGAAGCATTACAGAGAAGTTGCTTCTGGTACTGTTGCAACCCACAGAGGAGGGGAGGCAGCCCCCTTTCTAAGGAAACCCCTGAGGAAAGAGCAATTCAAGAAGGAGGTCCGGCAGGCTCACAGCTGAACTGACTAACGGATTTATTGTTCTTTTCTCTGCACAACATGTGCTCAGAGTGACCTATAATTGGTCTCACCACTTAAAACTCTGTCTCATTAGTTCCTTTAAATCTCCTGGGTCATAACTAGTACACTCCTGCTTTGTTATCTTTCTGGGAAGACTGCAGAAATAGCACTTCAAAATTATGGATTTGTCTGACATTAACTTTGTTACAAAACTCCCATTCTATAATGCCTGAACATGTAAAGAGAAAGCTTTGCTGTATTTCCAGAAGAGCCTGTTCCAATTGAGGTAAAAAGAATAGGAAAGGGTTCAGGGGTTGGAGTGATAGTACAACGGGTAAGGCATTTGCCTTACATGTGGCAGACGTTCGATTACCAGCATCACATATGGTCCCCTGAGCACCACCAGGGGTAATTCCTGAGTGCAGAGTCAGGAGTGACCCCTGAGTATCGCTGGGTGTGACACAAAAAGAAAAAAAAAAGAAGGAAAGGAGCGGGTTCACAAATCAGTTAAGTAATAAAGCATCTTTTCATGGGGGGGGGGGAGTCGATTAATCGGTCTGTGAAATCCCAAACACAAGCATGTCATATTTTAAATCATTTAGGTCATCACTGAAAGGGTCAAAGCAATGCAGAGAGAGGAAGAACGCAAAACTGAGAACAGCAGCCCCCGCAAAAAACGCAAAGCTTTCCTTGACTTGCTTTTAAATGTAACTGATGATGAAGGAAACAAGCTAAGTCATGAAGATATTCGAGAAGAAGTGGACACCTTTATGTTTGAGGTATTTTATATAGTGTTATCTTCAGGTATCATTAAATGAATACATACTTTTTAGAACATTTATCATTATTTTATTTATTTATTTATTTTTGCTTTTTGGGTCACACCCAGCGATGCTCAGGGGTTACTCCTGGCTCATGCACTCAGGAATTGCTCCTGGCGGTGCTCGGGGGACCATATGGGATGCTGGGAATCGAACCTGTGTCGGCCATGTTGGCTGCGTGCAAGGCAAATGCCTTACTCGCTGTGCTATCGCTCCAGCCCCAGAACATTTATCATTATTTTAAATCTTAAATATGATTTTGAGTAGCTTAATATCAGTGAGAATCATTAGTTTATCATAACCAGAAATTATAAATTATGAATCTGATGAATCTGATTACCTGATGAGTACAAAATATTTTGACTGGTGCTGAGTATATATAGGATGTATAATTTTTTCTCTCAAGAAAACTTAGGATCGGATAGACTTTTTCAAGTATAAGGAGAGCCAGAAATTGCTCTCAGTTTTTTAGCACTTCATGCTCCCAGATATTCTTCTAAACTCAAAGAACTTGGGACTGGAGTGATAGCACAGCAGGTAGGGCATTTGCCTTGCGTGTGGTCAACCCAGGTTTGGTTCCCAGCAACCCATATGGTCCCCCGAGCACCACCAAGAGTAATTCCTGAGTGCATGATCCAAAAGTAAACCTTGTGCATCGCCAAGTGTGACCCAAAAAGCAAAATAAATAAATAAATAAACCCAAAGGACTATATTCCCTCCACCTTCTTTGACAGATCTAAGAGAAAAGTATTTGTCCACTGTGCCAAGCAAGTCAAGCTATGAAGATAGCAGCACCGAGATACAGAATATCTCATCTTTGATTCTACTGGGATTCTCAGTTATCGAACTAAACAATAAACATACAGAGTAATTCAGATCACATTACATTTGACAGAGAATGAATCTCTAATATATGGACTACAAGTAAAGAAAAAGTAACAGGAGCCAGGCACATTCACGCACTCCCATGCACAGTCACTCCCCTTGTTATGTACACAACATTCATTTCCTACCAGCAATCTCTCCCTTTTGTGGAAACAACCAACCTAATAATTTTGGGCTTAGCTTATAAATTTCTTTGAAATTCTAGTATCTTCCTTCCGAGCATGAATAATATTGTATCACGCATATCTCTACCCTAATGTCTGGCTTTCTCCATAAGCTGGGTGGTTGGCTATTTCTACCAAGCCTGTCATGCCCTCAATCATGAAAGTTTATACCCTTCCCTATTCCAATAGTTTCTAGAAATTCCTGGGAAGGTCAGTCTAGGTGATGCGGGCTTGACAGCTCAACGCTCAGCCTGGCAATGTGGTTCTCAGGCCCTTGTAATACTCAGAGCCACTTGGGATACTCCCTGGAGTGCTTGGGCATGAATGTGGAGATGCAACACAGACAATCATACATGTTTGACATGTCTCTACCACTTGAACTAGCTCCCAGACGCTGGTCTCTAAATCTTGGAATGGCAGACTCTTCAATCAAGTGCTTCCATAAGTTTTGTAACTTCTTAGTTTTAGAAGAGTCTCCGATATTTTTCCTTGAACTAAGTACATCTTCAGTGAGGCTATTTATTATCTTGGCGATGTATTGACTCTGACTCGGGATCCTATTTATATATGGTGATCAGCATCTGCAAGTAGAACCTATCTTAACAGGAGAAGCAGGGAATAATGTAGCAAGTTGACTCTGGAAAGTCAGATTATTTTTTCTCCTTAAACAGTAGAGGGGCTGGGTAGAAAAGCACATGCTTCCCATGCACAAAGTTCTGATTTCAAATGCAGTTCTTGACGCTCATGCTCCCATCCTCTTGGATCCTAACTAAGTGTCCTTGTGGTCCCTCTATACCTCTATACTTCTGATTTGACCTATATCCCTCTATCCACACACACACATTTATGGACACACACACACACACACACACACACACACACACACAAGAACTCCCAGTTCCTTGGCTATATCCTTATTAGCACTTTTTTTCCCCCAAAATAAGCAAAATGTTGTTTAACACCAAAATTCCTCTAAAGCATGAGTCATCTTGCAGGGATTGTTAATTTTGTTTCTCGCCAAGGGGACATGCTGGACAGAATTCATTGGTCATGTTCTAAAGTCACGTTGCACCTGTAAAATCAGGGAGAACTGACAATAGGTTCTCTAGTCTCAACACGGCACTACTTTAAAGCTATCCCCCTGCTCTTCCGTTTGTAGGGCCATGACACCACCGCAGCTGCAATAAACTGGTCCCTGTACCTGTTGGGCACGCATCCAGAAGTGCAGAAAAAAGTGGATCAGGAACTGGAGGAAGTATTTGGTATGTCTGGGCCCTTCAGTAGTTACACTGTGGGAGCCAAGTCCCCGAGGCTAGTGTTGCTTCTGCTCCGTAGGAAGTTCAGGAGGGTCTGTGGGATCCCTTCCAGCACCTTCTCTTCTGCCAGACTTCCCCTGATCACTAACAGGCATGTGCTCATGGCCTCTCTGTAACTGCGGGCGGCCAGGTGCTGGGGATGCAGGGGTAAGTGTGACTCTGCTTACTGGTCTCTCTGCATAGGAGCAAAGCAGACACTTGCACCTAGGGCTTCAAGTCCCAGGTTGTGAGCTGTGAGCTTGAGAGGAAAGCAGAGCTGCTATTGGAGCAGAGGGGAGCGGGGGGGCTAGTCAGAGCAGTCATGGAAAATTGTTTCTATCCCCCTAAGAGATTGCACCTGGTCACAGAGGAAAGCAAGATGGGTTTATCCATTGGACAGAGCTTTGTATTATACATAAGAAATCCTGCAAATAGTACCCAGAGGATATAAGTGTTCTTTTCTTTTGACCTCTTTCCCATCTTTACTGTGGTCTTGTTTGTTGTTCTAGACCTCAGGTTTATCTTAGAGGCAAGAAGAAAGGGGAGAAGAGTTAGGAACATGTTACTTTCCTCTGACAGTCTTTTTTTTTTAATTTATTTTTTACTTTTTAATCAATCACTGTGAGATACAGTTACAGACTTACAAACTTTTGTGATTATGTTTCAATCATACAATGATTGAGTACCCATCCCTCCATCAGTGCCCATTCACCTCCACTAATGTTCCCAGTATCCCTTCCACCACCCTCCTGTCACCTCCCCCATGTCTCTGTGGCTGGCACATTCCCTTTTACTCTTTCTCTCCTTTTGGGTGTTATGGTTTGCAATACAGGTAGTAAGAGGCCATCATGTTTGGTCTATTGTCTACTTTCAGCACGCATCTCCCATCCCGAGCGAGCCTTTCAAGCATCATTCACTTAGTGGTCCCTTCTCTATCCCAGCTGCCTTTTCCCCCAGCATGTGAGACTGGCTTCCAAGCCTTGGAGTGATCCTCCTTGCTCTTATCTCTATTATCCTTTGATGTTAGTCTCCCATTCTGTTACTTTATATTCCACAAATGAGTGCAGTCATTCTATATCTGTCCATCTCTCTCTGATCATTTCACTTAGCATGATACTCTTCATGTTGATCCACTTACATGAAAATTTCATGATTTCATCTTTTCTAACAGCTGCATAGTATTCCATTGTGTATATGTACCAAAGTTTCTTTAACCAGTCATCTGTTCTCGGGCACGTGGTTTTTTTTCCCACATTCTAGCTATTGTATATAATGCTACAATAAGCATACAAGTGCAGATGTCATTTCTACTATATTTTTGCACCTCTGGGATAGACTCTCATAAGTGGCATTGATGGGTCAAATGGGAGCTTGATTTCTAGTTTTTTGAGAAACGTCCATATTGTTTTCCAAAAATGCTGAACCAGTCAACATTCCCACCAGCAGTGAAGTAGACTCCCTTTCTTCCCACATCCATGCCAAAACGGGTTGCTTTTGTTCTTTTGGATGTTTTCCAGTCTTTGTGGTATGAGATGATATTTCATTGTTGTTTTGATCTGCAGCTCCCTGGTGGTTAGTTATGAAGAACATTTTTCCATGTGTCTTTTGGCCATTAAGATTTCTTCTTTGAGAGAATTTCTGTTCACTTCATTACCCCATTTTCTGATGGGATTGGATGTTTTCTTCTTGTAGAGTTCAACCTGGGTTGGAGCCATAGCACAGCGGGCCATAGCACAGCTCCATTTGCCTTGCACATGGCCGACCCGGGTTTGATTCCTCTGCCCCTCTCAGAGATCCCGGCAAGCTACCGAGAGTATCCAGCCCACACAGCAGCTCTCCGTAGTGCATTCGAGATGCCAAAAACAGTAACAACAAGTTAACAATTGGTTGTTAGATGTTACTGGTGTCTGCTCGAACAAATTGATAAACAATGGGAGGACAGTGCTACAGTGCAGAGTTCAACCAGTGCCTCGTATATCCTTGATATTCACCTCTTATCAGAAAGGTATTGGGTGAATATCCTTTCCCATTCTGTAGACTGTCTTTATATTCTGGTCACTGTTTCTTTAGAGGGGCAGAAGTTTCTTAGTTTAATATAGCCTGCTTAGCTACACTGGACAAGAGCCTGCTCCTTCCCTTGGAGAGGCTTTCTAAGTGTCTGATGGTTTAGATAACTGGTCAGCTGGGATTGGTATGTCTTTCATTTTTCCTTCTTCTGTGTCTCCTCTTGCATTAAGATTCCACTCTTTATGCGTTGAATTTACCAATATAATCGTCAAACTCCTACACTCTTAAAAAAGAAGTCCCTCCTCTCTCTTTCCCCCTCCTCTTTCTCTCCACCCCCACCCCCACCTACCCCCCACTGTCTTCCCCCCGAGATTTCACTGAGTTTCAGGTGCAGTTTCCAGGTCTTAAGAATCCCAGCTTCTATTTTTCTACTTTCTTGAAAAATAATTGCTGGAGGGCATCTTGCAATCATCTTGCAATCTTGCCATCTTGTAACGTCGAACACAAGGGTGGTTCGTTCATAATACTGGCTTAGAAAAAAGAAAAGCCTGGGGGGAAGTTATCTGGTTCTCAGGCATTTCTTACCCTTTGCACTATTATTGGTGGCTGAGGGTCACACAAACCACCCCTGATTGATTTGAAATATAAGATGAATGTGAAAGTATATACTTCAACATTTGGAAATGAGAAATTTTTAAAACATTTAAATTTTGTTTCACATCTCCTTCTTGCAGATTGCCTATGTTTGCACTGTATTCTGGCTCGGCTCAGAAGTCTGTATTTAAAGCACTGATGCCATCTCTGTGCTATTCGTTCACATTCTGCCACATTAGCTTGTGCTTTCTGGGCTTTAAAGATGTGACTTTTGCTTGTTCTTCTGTTTTTTTTTTCTTGCTCATTTTCCTCCTTTGGTTAGATGAAAGTTAAGTATACTACTCTTCTATCACTGACTACCTTTAGTGGAAAATGTTTGAAGTTACATGTTAGCTTGCTAATAAGGCTGCTTTGCAACACTAGGTAAACATTTATCTTTGCTTTCTTTTTCTATGGCTTATTCTGGTCTGACTTGGACATTTTGTCAAATCCTGTACACATTTACATTTGACTTCTAAGATGTTGAAGATGGATCATCACTTTAAACAACTTCTTTGGAGAGAACTTATAATTTGGGTGGATGATTGCCATCAGAAAATTCTATTCTGTAAACGGATTTAATATTTGCAAATGTGTCACTTAAACTCTACTGAGATTACCCAATTCCTTTTTATCTTCCCCAAGTAACACAGACTTATAGATGACTGGGAAATGTTACAGCTAAGTTTGAGGTTTTGGTCATCATTTCAACCTCCTCTGATAAATGATGGAATTTGTTGTATTTCTTTTCTACTTTCAAAATCTCCACAATGGTTTGAGTGCTCTGCTTTTCTTTTGTACTTCATTGTATCCTTCATTAATATATTCAATTACCTCCTTTTATTCTTTTTCTTCCTTCAGCTACTCCAGAGATTTGCTGTAGGCTAGACTCCTAGTGAGTTGCAAAACTTCCATGTTTGATTTTCAGTCATACAATGATCGAACAATTATCCTTCCACCAGTGCACATTTTCTACCACCAATGTACCCAGTATACCTCGCCCACACCCTGCCCCACCTCTCCCACTGTTTCTATGACAGACAATTTCCCTCTTACTCTGTCTCTCTACTGGTGAGGCCTTGATATTCTGATATGAGATAAGGGAATTTATGGGGCCATACTGAGGGGAAAGACCTGGAATATGACCAAGAGAAGATTTATGTCTGAAAGATTCTCTGACAATACAAAATTAACCATAAAATGTTCTATAAATGTACTGCTTTGCATTGTAGCATAAATGTTAGCTTGATCTCAAACCTCCATCTGAAGGAGGTTTGAGATCAAACCTTCTTGATCTCAAATCTCCATTTTGAAACCCAAAAGGAAATCTCATACCATTAATAAGATTAATAAGTTAGTTCCCATCAATCCCTCTTCCCTGCCCCAAATACAAATTTACTTTCACTAATCCACAGATTTGCCTGCTTCGAGTACTTTCTATAAATGGAACTATTCAAAACAAACAAACAGAAAAACAGAAAAACACCTGTATCTGTTCACTTAACTTGGAAAACTGTCTCATTTTTTTTTATTCTGTATAATATTCAGAATTCTTTTAAAAAGACATTGGTCTTTTCAATTAGTTTCATCTGCTTTGAGGACCCCATCCTCCAGACCCAACTACTTTTTCACTGTCATCTCATGTGTTTATTTTTAATCAGGGACATCTGACCGTCCTGTCACAGTAGAAGACCTGAAGAAACTTAAATACATGGAATGTGTTATTAAGGAGACTCTTCGCTTATTTCCTTCGGTGCCTTTATTTGCTCGTTGTCTTAATGAAGATTGTGAAATTGGTAAGTATTCCTCAGAATAAAACGATAAGGAGAGCATATGTTTATATTTGTGGGAAGAGAGGACTCCTAAGCACTGCTCCAGGGACCCAGGGTCCACTCCTAGTGACACCTCTCCAGTAGACCCATGTAGGTCTGGCTGTATGATTCTTCCAGGGACCTGCTGCTCTAGAAACCACAGGACCACACCTAGTGACGCTTGGAGGAACATGTATTACCAGGGATTGGACTCGGGATCTCAAGCATGTGCTCCGGCCCCTCTGAGCTGTCTCCGTGGCCTGATATAGATGTCCTGAATATCTGCCTGTCATGCTCCATTCTCATGGCATCTTGACTATTTCTTGACAGCGGGTTACAAAATCGTGAAAGACTCTGAAGCAATTATCTTTACCTATGCACTGCATCGAGATCCAAGGTTCTTCCCAGACCCTGAGGAATTCAAGCCGGAAAGATTCTTTCCTGAGAATTCCCAAGGACGCCATCCATATGCATATGTGCCCTTCTCTGCTGGACCAAGAAACTGCATAGGTTGGTATTGATTAAAATGGTTCAACCACTGATAAAGTAGGAGAAGCCCAGGGAACTGAACTCACAGCCACCCTAGTCCCTAATTCCTATGCTGGATTTCACGGTGAGCGGAAAATGCAAAAATAAGCACTTTGGAGCTGGTGCCATAGATAGCACAGCGGGGAGGGTGTTTGCCTTGAATGCTGCCGACCCAGGTTCGATTCCCAGCATTCTGTATGGTCCCCCAAGCACTGCCACGAGTAATTCCTGAGTGCAGAGCCAGGAGTAACCCCTGAGTATCGCTGAGCTTCAATCCCCCCCCCCCAAAAATTTTAATTTAAAAGGTAGAGGAGACAAATAAAGGAAGCTAGCACCCAGCTGGGATAAAATTAAGTTTTTAAGGGAAAGAGTAAGTAGCAAAGACACTGCCAAGGGTACAGCAACAGTGTTTTCTGCTTTGCCTTTTAGGCTTCAGGCTTCACATCTTTCTTGTTCTCTCTTAAGTCTCCTCCCAAATGGGTGGGAAGTACCTGGAATTGAGTTCCTGGTCATATTGGGCCACTGTCATTACTTGCTATGACAACGATAAACTGCCATGGTGCCTGGATGTGATTTTGATAAGGAGGCAAGAGTTCTGATATATTAGTTATTTTAGTGATGGTATCATGATCTAGAGTTGTCTGCAGTCACTCAAAGCTCACCTGCCCTTGTTCCCCTGGGTTGTAACAAAGGTGCAGATTTTGCAGGGTGTCATCAACTCCAGTGACGTTTTCTTCACACTGCATATTTGGTCTGGGTTTCACTCTGCTGGGCATGTCATTTAAACTCCTGGGTATGGCTTTGTTTATCCCTGTCTTTTTCCATACTCCCATGACTTCATGCATACATTTGTTCCTCCCTTCCTAATATAGAAGTAATTTTCTCACAATAATTTTTTCAGTATTCAGGGCCAGAGTGAAATAGTTGGTAGAGGGTTTGTCCTGCACATGGCCAACCTGGGTTTGATCCCTGGCCACCTGAGCCCTGCCAAGAATGATCCCTGAGCACAGAGCCAGGAGTAAGCAGAGCAGGGTCTGAACCAAAAAACAATGAATAGTAAAAGAAAGAAATTGCTACACGTTGAAAATAAATTATTATTTTATTTTGGATTCTTTTTTGGTCTGTTTTGGTTTTGAGGCCACAGTTGGTGGTGCTCAGGGCTTATTCCTGGCTTTGTATTTAGGCATTATGCCTAGTGGGGGGCTCCAGGGACCAGTTGGGGTGACAGAGATTGAACTGACATCAGTTATGTGCAAGGCAAGCACCCTACCAATTGTACTATCTTTCTACCCCTGCAATCTATAGTAATTACTTTGTAATTTAAAACAGTCTCCAAATTAGTTAGGTTTTTTCCCCAATTTTATGTATCTTACTATTTTCAAATATTACTCTATTAGTTTCCTAGAGCTGTCGTCGTAAAGTACAGGAGGCTGGATGGGAGTGTAAGGGCTAAAATCCTAGACAGAGGCTATTTTCCTGTGGATTTGTGGGTAGTCTACTCCCTGTATCTTTGATTTATCTTCTCTGGTGAAAGGAAAGACCTTGACCAATCTTTCCTCTGTGTGTGTTTGTGTCCTATCTGTTCTTTTAAGAACACAGAGATTTTATTGAGACTCCATCAGTTTGAATTACGGTCCAAAGTGTAAAATAATTAGATTTAATTTCCTCCTTAGAGTATCTATCTCCTGGTACATTCACATCCTCAGGTACTAGGAGTTAGCAGTATGACTGGGGAGATGGAATTCAGCCCATAATATGAAACATGATCCATGTCAATGTAGTTTTAAAATGTAAATGGTAATTAAAGGGGGGTATATTTCCATTTACTTATTTAGAATGAGCTTATGTTTAACCAGCTATTTATGTTTGTTGCTTTTAAGAACTACATTTTGCAACGCAAAAGAAAGAATGCTAGTAACATGACAGCTGAGGAACTTAACAACATTACCGTGCATTATAAATACATTTAAGAGCAATGTTTTTATCCTTTTATTATTAACATAATTTTGGACATTATTAAGATGCAGATTTAATGGATGGGCCTGAATGGTATTTGATGATTCTACAGTAAATTAAAGGCCCTGAAAGAAAGCAAACTAAAGTAAAACTTCCACCACTACATTGCTTTGAATACACCTGGGGCTACTGGTAACAATCAGACTCCCTGGTCCTCCCTAGCTGCTCAGACACAATGATTAGGAAAGGGTCTTCAAGAATCTTTGTTTTTAACAAACATCCGAAGTTACTCTGATGATCTGAGGGTCTACAATACCAATATATATATATATGTATATATATATATATAGTAGGTCACTTGAAACCTATTATTTCTCATATTTGAGTTATATTTCTAACTGAAGTGAGGGTATTTTTGTTAATTTGAAGGTCAAAGATTTGCCATGATGGAAGAAAAGACCATTCTTTCCTGCATCCTGAGGCAGTTCTGGGTAGAATCCTCCCAGAAGAGAGAAGAACTTGGTTTGGCAGGAGATCTGATTCTTCGTCCAATGAATGGCATCTGGATCAAGTTGAAGAAGAGACACACAGATGAATCCTAGCTATGTGATTGGGCTATGCCTTTATCATGAAAAGTCTTTACTAAAAAGAAGCTTTGCAATAATTTATACGTAGAGTGAATTAATGTTTACCTTTTAGTAAGCACATAATAAGATTTTCAATAGACACATTCACAGAAAATTAAACTTTAGTGGACAGACCCAAAGGCTATATTAATATTCAGAATTTTTCTGCTGTTTCAGAAATAATTATATGAATCTTTAAGTATACATTCAAATTTAAAAATAGTATTAAGTCCTTTAATCTCAGTAGCTTATATTTTTAATGACATCAACTATGAGAATAATTACTCTGACATTTCTCTTGTTTTTATTACATATAGGTAGGTAATATATAACTTGTTATTATAATAACTTAATATTATAATATATAATTTATTTTATGCATACTTCCCTGTAGCCTTTAATCTTCAAGCTCTTATTTCATTTTTACTGCATCACAAATATGTCATGTTGATGAAAGTGAAAGAGGGAAGACCCCCTCCCAAGGTAATGGCAAAATTTCCTGGGGATAAATAGTCCTGAAGTTGCTGCAAGAGCCTGATAAGACCCTCAGAAGAAAACAGGAAAAACCAGGAACAAAGGCCTGATAAGACCCTCACCCATCTACAGCAACAGACCCGGAGAAGCTCCTGCAAAAACAAAAGGCCAGGAAAGAAATTTCAAAGAAGACCATCACCACTCCCAACCTCCTTGGTAACCGCCGTAGATGGTGGTTTGACCTAGGTAGATGCCCCACTTGGGGGCAGGTTGGAGAAACCCTTGACTAAAGGAAGGTGCGCATATGCTGCCTGAGCCCATGTGCTACTTGCACTCATGCGGCCGAGCACATGCCATGCCTGAGCACATGTGTTGTCTGCATCTCCCCTCGTGAGATGTGTCCTTTCATGCTTTCATGTCTAATGCTGGGAGGTATGTAGGGGCTCTCTCCACCCCTGGAGAAGCCCAGGTTCTCTCTTGACCATGTCCCACTCTCTCTCTCACTTTCTTTCCCTCCTTCCCTTCAAAACCTCCAAATAAAAACTGTGTAATTTCGCTGCTCATGTACTCCTGAAATTCCTTTCTGCGAGGCGAGACAAGAACCCAGTAACCCTGGGCCCCAGGTGGCAGAGGCGGATCAGGAGAAAGTGACCTTCTTCATCCTACCCACTTTACATCAGTGTGTTATTGGAGAAATTCCTCTTGGAAATAGCCAATCTTTTACAGTGCCTTATATGGCTGTTTACTGGATTTTGGAGTAATAAGAACCAAACTTTTCTAGGCCTATATACAGAAGGAAGAAAATCAGTGAAAAGAGAAGTTTCTGACTTAAGTAGGTGATGCAGATAGAAATAGATTGAGGCATTTTTTAAGTCTGCCCATTACCTTACACTTTGTATACTATTGCTTTGGGGTTCTTGTTTCTCTAACTAGATGTGTCATTACAACACAGATTTTCTAAAAGTGATTTTAGAATATTTTTCCTAGAATTCCTTTGGCATTAAGAAAATTTATCTCTATCACGTAACCAGTCATTTCTCATGTAGTTAGGATGAGGACCCCAGTAATGCAATCTTCCAAAACATCCCTACCACATATTCCCAGACTCATTCTCCCATCATTTTAATGATAGTAACTTGGTCTCTATTCTATGTCAGTGACATTTAAAAACATATTCTAATAAGATCATTTTAAACAGGATTATTTCTTCACTGTTCCCAAGTCAGTCACAGATAGAGAAAACAAAGAGGATGAAATATGTATTCTTCAATTAGAATCAAAAGAGGGGCTGGAGCGACAGCACAGTGGGTGGAGCATTTGCCTTGAACACGGCCAACCCAGGTTTCCCAGCATCCCGCATGGTCCCCTGAGCACTGCCAGGAGTAATTCCTGAGTGGAGAGCCAGGAGTAACCCCTCAGGTATGATACAAAAAGCAAAAATGGAACAAAACAAAAACATCAAAAGAAGAGGTTTGAAAAGTGGTACTGACTTGGTACTCAGCAGCTCTACCCACTTGACTATCCCAAACAGTCATGGTGTATACATACTAGTCCCCAAGAAGATCATAAAAAGTCAAGGAGATACCTAATGCCGTTGAAAAAGACTCCCATCCTATGCTTAGCCTTGTCTCTAGAAATTGGACATACGTAGAGGCTGGAGAGAGACTTGAACAGACTGACACATGCTCAGCATGTGGGAGATCCTGGTGTGATCATGACACTGCACTGATCCCCTGAGCAACTATCCAGGAGCACCACAGGTGGGTCCCACTCCAATAAAAACAACAAGAAGAAACAAAACTCTGAAAGTAGTTTTATGTAAAAAATATCCTTCCCAGATGATTCAATATTTAAAGTTTATTCAAGGAAATCACGATTATTTTTCAATTTTATGTACTTCTATTTAACCCTTGTTTTAAAAATAAAAACTAGTGACTCTGATTTAGATGTACAGTTTTGTCCTGAGATCTTAATTTTTCCCCAAAATAATTTGTTATTCATATTCTAATAAATATTTATTTTAGTGATCAGTGTTGGATTTGGGATATTTTGTCATATTCTATAGTATTGAATATGTATACTGATTATTTTAAATGAAAGGATGATTGAATATCTGTGTCCATATTTTCTGTCTTCTTCCTGTTTGAAAGGGACATCTTGAGAGAAAAGTTTAATTATTTTTTAAGTCGGAGTGAGGTTTAACTCCAATATATAGGTAGTTCTATACCCATTTGCCAGCAGGAAGTAGTTATAGAAGATTTATGGTGACCCCAAAAGATGTAAGGGGATAAAAACTCTAAGGGATTTATGTTACAGGCAAATAGACAGGGTGGAACTCCTGTTTTGGACGAAGTACCAAGATGGGATCCAAAAACATTGTCAAGTAACCAGCTCTGAAGTAGTATGAAGGCTTCAAGGTACCACCCATGTGCAAAAAACTGAGACAACACCTAGAGAAGCATTCCTTCAGAAAAGCAGTCCCAAAGATTTAAAAGGGCATATTAAGATTAGCGAAAAGACTAACTGGAGTACAAGACTCATCTTTGGCCTCACACTAAAAGAAAAGTCCTAGGTGGAAGGATTTGGGAAAAGCCCATGGAATCACCTTTGTATATTAAATCTTCCTTGCATCCCTGGGATTAAATCCTTGGTCATGATGTATGCTCCTTTTGGATTTGGGTTGCTGATATTTTGTTGAGGATATTTGTGTTTATGTTCGTCAGGGATACAGGTCTAGGGTTTTCTTTCCTGGTGATGTTTCTGTCCAATTTTGGTGTCAGGGTTATGTTTGCCACAGAGAAACTGGGAGGGTTCCTGTTTCTTCAACTTTCTGGAAGAGTCTAAGAAGGATTGGAAGCAGGTCTCCTTTATATGGAAATTTCTCAAAAATACTAAGAACTGAACTTCCATAAACCAGTAATTCCAATTCTCAGCATCTACCCAATGCCACCCCCCCCAAAAAAAAACCATTTGCACCCCAATGAGCGATAGCACAGTGGTAGGGAGTTTGCCTTGCACGCGGCTGGTTGACCCCAGTTCAATTCCTCTGCCCCTCTCGGAGAGCCCGACAAGCTACCAAGAGTATCTCGCCCACACGGCAAAGTCTGGCAAGCTACCCGTGGCGTATTCGATATGCCAAACACAGTAACAAGTCTCACAATGGAGAAGTTACTGGGCTGCTTGAGTAAATCGATGAACAATGGGAGGACAGTGCTACAGTGCTACCCCTAAGTTCATTTCAGGGCTATCACAATAGTTTGATCTGCAAACAACCTCTGTTCAAGAATAGAAACTCCTTCCCTCTGTCTGTCTCTCTGTCTGTCTGTCTGTCTGTCTGTCTGTCTCTCTCTCTCTTTCTCTCTCTCTCTCTCTTTCACACACACATACTATAGTGCTTCGGTATAAAGAAAAAATGAAATAATGCAATATGCCACCACATGGATGGAACTGTAAGTTATCAGGCTGAATGAAATCAACCAGAAGGAGACAGAAAGATGCAGAATGATGTCTCTTAATGTAGAATACATAGAAAAATATTATGGAAATAATAATGGTCAAAGACAGTAGAACGTAAGAACAGGTTTACAGAACTGATTACCAAGAACTAGCTAGGGGAGGAGAGGGGTGGAAGTTGGGAGTGGTTCCTGAGACTGTGGTGGAGGGAAGAGGACACTGGTGGAGGATGTGGTGTAACCTTGTATGCATGAAATCCTATCATGGAAAGTACTGTGAATAAGTGTTTCAAATAAAATACTTTAAAAACCCACCATTACAAAAACAAGTAATTGTGTTCTCTGCTGCCTGCGTCACAACTGCAATGTGTATTTTCTCCCGCTCTGACTCTTCTTACATTTTTCTGCATCACCTTTGGGGGAAGGGAATACTCAGAGGTGTTCAGGGCTTATCACTACACTCAGAGATCATCCCCTGAGAGGCTCAGGGGAACCATCTGAGGGGACAGCGATTGAACCCAGATCAGTCACATGCAAGGCAAGCACCCTATGTGCTGTACTATTGCCCAGACTCTTCTCCTTACATTTTACCCAATAAAACTATCTTCCTTCAAAATTTAAGTAAAATCGAACTATAGAGGAACCTGGAAGATGGTTTCATGGCTTAAAGTGCTTGCTGGCTAAGCATGACCCTTTGAATTCAAACCCCAGTGCTGCCCACATGCACCCAGCATCCCACTGTGGGATGTAGGATATCCCACAATCTGGAATTTTCAGCAAGGGGAAAACATATACAATAAAAATAATACATGGAAACTTATGCATAGGTTATGCAGCCCTGATGATATGAACCAGTAAATAGATCATGTTGACAAAACAAAAGTTAAAAACAATTGACAGAGAGTCACAGTGAATACTGGAGCCAAGGAAAGGCTACCAGCAGTGTGGCATTAGGAAAGCATGCAGAAGGCCCATTTTCACTGGCATCTGAGACCCTTCATCTTCACTTATGGAAGCAGCTGTGCTCTTATTAAGAAAATCTCTTATTCTGACTGCTTCCAGTTAGATTTCTTAAGTTAATCACATTTTCACTTTACAGAAAAACTGTTACCTTCTATTCTAATTTCCTATGCAGCTAGAGAGAAAAAAAATGATGTTTCATATGTAGAAATATGAGAATTTTAAGTGCATGATTTTTAAATACAAAGAGACTATTGATTAATTAAAAAACTAAAAATGGAGCTGAAGGGGGCTGCTGAAGCAATGATACAGCAGGCATAGTGTTTGTCTTGCATGCGGCCAACCTGGTTTTGACCCTTGGCATCTCATGTGGTCCCTTGAATATCACCAAGTGTAATTCCTTAGTGCAGACCTAGGAGTATAACACCTGAGTATTGCTGGGTATGGGCCCCAAACAAAAACAAAAACAACCAAAAATGGGTTGATTTGACTAAAAGTTAAAATTAAAATGGGTTTAAATATGTGTACGTGTACACTTGTGTATGTGTGTGTGTGCTGTGTGTGTGTGTGTGTGCGTGCGTATATGGCGGGGCAGAACATTCTGGGCCACTGCATACATTTCCATTGATTAAAGTATTTTTATTTCCTCACAAAAGAGAGATAGCAGAAGTGTTTAATTCCTTCTTACCAAGTCTCTTTCCATAATTACTAACCAGATAGGTAGCAAATGAACATAGCAGGAAATGCAAGGCAGGAAGGAGAGCAACATCTGGTTTTCAAAGAGCAGGATAGAAAACATATCCAGTGAGCAAGACCCACTGGATTTACCTCATGCTGGTGATGTAGACCTTTTTATGAATTTTCTCTAATTATGTGTCATCACTGTGCAAAAAAGTTGACAGTGATTCCCATGCTTTACAGGGTCCAGAAGACAAGACAACCTGCTCAAAGTACATGGCCTGTCAGTGGTAGAGAAAGATGCTAAATCGTGCACATTACTGTGGGATGTGCAGAAGGAACAATATTTTATTCAGTGCATTACCTTGAGATGTGAGGTTCTGCTTCAATAAAAAAAATCAGCATATGATAATATATATTTCAGAATTTTAAAGTAGATCTATTTGATGATATTTCTAGTTGAGTGCCTATTTTATG